TCCCGAGTGCTGGGATTAAAGGCGTGCGCCACCAACGCCTGGCTCTCATTATGTTGCTTAGGCTGGTCTTTACCTCCTGGTCTCAAGTGATCCTCTGACCTCAGCTAGGACTAGAGGAATGGACCACAGTACCCGGCTCCACCACTGACATGTCAACCCACAATCAGACTATAGTGAAGCCTTGCAGGACCTGATGCTCTTTCTGTCTTCTCAAAGTCCCTTCATTCATAGCCACCTCACTCTATTATATACATATTTTACAAGGGTTTTTATTAAACATTAAGAAACCCCAAAGTTTCAGGAAAGTACAAGAACAACATAAATGTAATTCTTACCACATTTAATATTTTAGAAATATTTACTTCTAGTAATTTCATTTAAAAGAGACATGACCATGTTGGGAGAAGGCTCAGAGATTAGAGTGTTATACAAACAAAAGAACCCATTTCAGATCCTTAGAACCCAAGTAAATGCCAGGTGGCCACCAGGTGGCATGGCTGATCACCTGTAATGCCAACCTGAACAGGCCAAGACAGAGGATCTCCAGAATAAACTGGCTAGCAAAACTAACCATACAGGCAAGTTCTGGCTTAAGTGATAGACCCTATCATTGCAGAATATTTGTTTAACTATACAAAGATGTGTTGCATTTCTTTTTTCTTTCTTTCTTTCTTTTTTTGTTTTTGTAGACAGGGTTTCTCTGTGTAGCTTTGGAGCCTATCCTGGCACTTGCTCTGGAGACCAGGCCGGCCTCACACTCACAGAGATCTGACTCCCTCCACCTCCCGAGTGCTGGGATTAAAGGCGTGCGCCACCAACGCCCGGCTGCATTTCTTTTAACTATGCAACGATGTGTTGCATTTATTTATGTTGAGGAATATTTGTTTAACTATGTAAAGATATGTTGCTGTTTCACCTCACCTGACTAAGGCACCTGATTGGCCTAATAGAAAGCTGGATGGCCAATAGTGAGGAAGGAAGTATAGGCAGGATTTCCAGGCAGGGAGAGTAAGTAGGAGAGGGAATTTATGCTCAGAAGAAGAAAGAAACACCAACAAGACACCGGGGGTCAACCAGACAGACACAGAGGAAGCAGGAAAAGTGGAACACACAGAATGAATGAAAGGCATAAAGTCCAAAGGCAAAATGCAAATGAAAAGTAAAAGTTCAATCAAGTGGGACAAGCGTAAGCTAAGGCTGAGCATTCATAATTAACAATAAACCTCTGTGTTTTTATTTGGGAGCTGGTTGACAGCCCAAAGAAAATCCCAAGCACACCTTATCTCAATGAGTAAGGTGGACCATGTCTGAGAAAAACTCCTGATATCAACTTTGTGCTCCACATGCATTTGTACAAATATGTGAACAATCATAAACATGTATGAATGCACACTACACATATACATAAGAAAAATGAAGAATAAAGAAATAAAGTAAAAAATGTTTGACTTACTGTTAAGCACCTTTGGCTAATTGCTACTACCTATCTTGGCTTCTTTATTCAGTGTCTGTCCCTGCTCTGTTTGCCTGGCTACACTGTGCCCCTGGGGACTGCTTACTCATGTTGGCCACACACACTTCAGTTCAGCAAATGTGCTGTTTCCTTTTCCTCTGTTCCCCTTGCATCTCTTCACTCACTTAAGGTCACACAGACATCAATCACTTCCCTTGGGAGGCCTATGATGTACCTTACTCAGCATAGACGGAGAAGCATACAGTGCCTTTTATGAGGGACCCAGACCTCTAATGCCCTGTTTCTGGGAGTTCAAGCCTGGCCTGCCAATGTCCTGTCTATCCAAATTCCTCCTGGGTATCCGATGCATATAGAGAAGAGGCTTAGTGAATCATTGTTGAAAGAGCAGACACATGGTATGGGAAACCTACCTGCTGGCCCCACGCAGACTTCAGGGTCTGGAACCTATCTACATCACCACTATTGAAAGCATACAGAGTGTCGATCAGCCACTGCCGGTCAGTGCTCCTCAGTGACTCCAGTACAGGGTGCATGAGCTATGGGGACAGAGACAGTAAGCTGGCACAAAGTAACACTTTCTCTTCCCCACACTGTTAAGGAATCAGTGCCAGGCCAACTTACAAGCTCTCCAAAGTTAAAAACGCCCTCGCCAAGAAGTCCAGCAAGCCCCAATGTGAAGGCTCTCTCCTGTTGCTCTGACACTACAAAATGACACAGCCAGTCATATCCCATCTCATTTGGCCTTATAAAACTCACATAACCAATACAGAAACCATTACCAGAATGGTTCTAGTTTCAAACTGCAGTATAAGCTATCTCTTTAAAAGTGATGGAATTTAGGTTATACCAGGAACCACTGTCTAAGTGAATTTAAAAGTGATGAGCTCCTAACAGAGCTAAGACACCCCTCCCCTCCCCTCTCCCCCCTTAGCACCTCATAGCCGCTATGCTCAGTCACAGACTCCCTGAGTGCCGAGATATATGAGGGCCCTGTGTACCTGGCAGATCCTTAATGTCAACACAGCCCAGAAACCGTAGAGCGTCTTTATAGTAGGATGCGTGGTTTCCAATTGTCTGATAGTATTTACTGGAGAGATCATAGAAACGACTGTGAACTGATGTCACACCAGGGAGATTGTTGAGCATCTCTTCAACATCTTCAATGGTTTCCTACACACAAGAAGTAAAATCGCCTTCCAGCTTAAAAGATCTTTAAAGTAATATAAAAATAAAAAGTCTAAGCTACCAGGGCAAAGATTGATAACAGACTGACTACACTAAAATGGAAAACTTTGGTCCATCCAAAAACACAGAAGAAAATATAAAGACAAGCTACAGACTGGGAGAAGATGTTTATAGGATGTTTAACTCCACATCCTATAGGGATAATGAGCAAGAAAATATGAAAAACACAGTAGAAAAACAGAAAAAGACAGTAACAGGCAATTAACAGAGGTAGAGATGTGAGTGGGATTGCTAGTAAACCACCAGCACATGAGAAATGCAAAATTAAACCACTATCACTTGAAGAATTAAATAGCATGCAAATATCACAGGCTGCAAATGGAGTTTCAGAGGTGCCTGCAAGGTTCTGTTTAACACCTCACATTACCACCTTCAGACACACATCAGGAGACTACCCAAGCACAAAGAGATCAGGCACAGCAATGCTAACATGACCAGCACTTGTAATACAATAAATGGCCTAAATACCTTTGTAGGAGAACAGATATATACACAGCAAAACATGTATACAGTGGGATTCCACACAAGGGTAAAAATGAATGGCCTATATATAGATAGTAACTCATAAACCTGGCCAGGGCGACTAAGATTTTAATGTATCTCCAGTGATGGTTAATCACCCTAAATGAGGGCAGCATCCTAAGAGCAGGGGTCTAGGACTGAAAAAATGAAGAGAGTGCTGAGCCCCAGCATCTCTGTTTCCCTTCTGCAGACTCCATGTAACCAATCACTGGTTTTTTTTTTTTTGAGACAGGTTTTCTCTGCATAACAGCTCTGGCTATCCTGGGACTTGCTTTGTAGATCAGGCTGGCCTTGAATTCAGAGCTCCACCTGCCTCTGCCTCCCAAATGCTTGGGACTAAAGGCGTGCGCCACCAACGCCCAGCTACCAATCATTTCTTATTCCTGCTGCCAAGCCTTCCCTGTTACAATGCACTGTAGCCCTCAAATCATAAGACAAAATAAACTATTCCATAAGTTTCTTCTTGTCAGGTGTGTGGTCATAGCAACAAGAATAGTAACTAGTGCACATGGGTGAGATGGGCCTGTTGGGGGACTAGCACAGACTGTAGACATATGGTCTGCCTGTGTGCTATTCTACTCCTAGACTGGCTGAAGTTTAAGAGTGCCCATTACAGCATTCCTCATTGTGGCATAGCTCAATGTGTCTTAAATACCTCAAAACAAAATGTAAATAGGATGCATATGATCTGGGACTAGGAAGCAATAAGTACTTTTTTTTTTCACATTTTTTAAAAGATTTATTTATTATGTATGCAGTGTTCTGCCTGCAGGGAGCACCAGATCTCATTATAGATGGTTGTGAGCCACCATGTAGTTGCTGGGAATTGAACTCAGGACCTCTGAAATAACAGCCAGGACTCTTAACCACTGAGCCATCTCTCCAGCCCCTGCAATAAGTACTTTTTAGGCCAATGAAAATATAAAACACTTTCAACTATTACTTCCACTATTTTTGTTAACATTATGGTTACCAAAATTAAATCAAAACAAAAGCACTTGTAGTCTCTAGATAAACAACATTATGTTTTCTTACTGCTACCTCTATTTATGCTTGTCTTCCAAACTGGACAAAAACTACAAAAGGTACAAATGGGGCCAAAGACATAGCCTAACCATTAAGAGTGCTTGCTGTTCTTACAGAGGACCTAGCTTCAGTTTCTGGTACCCATATGAGCTCACATCTGGCTGTAATTCCATCTTCCAGAGGATGCAGCACCCTCTTCAGGCCCCCACTGGCACTGCACGCATGTGGTGCACAGACATGCACGCTGGCACACACCCAAACACATAAAATAAAAATAAAAACAACTCAATATCTCTCTCTCTCTCTCTCTGCATAAATATAGACAGGAAGCTTCAACAACTCAAGAGGAAGAAAGAGAACAGGGAAACCTCTTTGTTTAAGAGTAAATGTCTTATCATCAACTTAACTTTAAACAGGAAAACAAAATCAAAACCAACCAACCAAACCAAACAAACAACAGCACAGAGGGATAGCATATATAAAACAAAGGTGGCAATAGATAAGCAATGGGGAAATCTAGGCTACAATATGAGAATTCTTTGGGTCCCGCCCGCCCCCTCTCCCCATAACTTATTTTAAAGAGACAGTCAAGGAGGAAGAATACATGTATTATTGTGCTCTCACCTTTGTAGCCTGTAGATCCCCGATGTTTAATTTTAGAGCTCCGATAGCTGTTTTACACAAGATCACTGCTTCATCACTACTTTTTACCTGAAGAGATTTTTTTTTTAAAAAAGGGGAGAACCTCAGAAAGTTAGGCAGCAAACTTGCAAATTGAACTGTTCCTTGGGGACAGACTTGGCCTTGAGACCAAGAAGGTGACTTCTGCAGGGTAGGCATAAATTGCAAAACACATATATACCAGAAAATGCTTTTCAAACTTTATATTTACCTTCTCACGAGTCTTTTCCAGAAAAGTAAGAGCCACATTAGGATCTAGAATAGAAACAAGGCAGAGTCAGACCCACCAACAGCAGCTTTTTACCAGCTAGGACATCTTTAGGCAAGATAAACAACAACATTTCTCTGTTTATGTCACAATGCACCTGACGATGGCCTACGACTATGGATGTCACGTTGTGATCACTGTTTCACCTGGTTGCTGGGACAACAGTGGGCATCACTAAATCTGGCCAATTTGGTATTTTATATAATGAAACAAACAGAGGCTTACCAGTCATCTGTCTAACCACATGAAGAATTATTTCTACCAGGGACAAAGGATTTACCCTGAAATAAAAACCATCAGTTTTTGAGTGTTAAAAAGCACTAATACATTCATTTTCAAAGTCAAAGCTGACAAAAGGGGATTACCTGTGTTCAAATTCACTGATGAAGTTTTCATAAAGCTGCAAAAGCAAAGACAGAGAATTAGTACAGAATGAGCATCACTCTGACTTCTGGTTAGAGGTGTGGCACTAAGACTGTCAAGTTTGAGTGTGCAAATCATAATGCCCGCCACATAGAAAGTGTGAGTGTGCAAATCATAATGCCCGCCACATAGAAAGCACTGTCTAAAACCTCGCTGAATGATGGGAGAACCACATCAGAGCTTTCTGAGTTCACATAAATGATCACCAATCGATTATTGAAGAAAACCAGTTCCTCACTTTGAGACTCAGAACACGGGTCTAGAGAGTCTCCTAAACAGCCAGGTGGTGGAGGCACAAACCTTTAATCCCAGCACTCGGGAGGCAGAGGCAGGTGGATCTCTGTGATTTCGAGCCAGCCTGATCTACAGATAGTTCCAGGTCACCCAGCGCTATATAGACTCTGTCTGAAAAAAATCAATCAATCAATCAATCAATCAACCACAACCAACCAACCAACCAACCAGCTGCTAGAGAGGCTTAGCAATTAAGAGCACTGGCTGCTCACCCAGATGTTCTGAGTTCAATTCCCAGCAACCACAAGGTGGCTCACAACCATCTATACCCAGCGCTATATAGACTCTGTCTGAAAAAAATCAATCAATCAATCAATCAATCAACCACAACCAACCAACCAACCAACCAGCTGCTAGAGAGGCTTAGCAATTAAGAGCACTGGCTGCTCACCCAGATGTTCTGAGTTCAATTCCCAGCAACCACAAGGTGGCTCACAACCATCTATAGTGGGATATGATGCCCTCTTCTGGCATAAAGTCGTACATGCAGCTAAAGGACTCATTTACATAAAAAAACCCTAAATATCAATTCCTATATTCTTCCCCCAAGGTGCTTCAAGTACTACAGCTGGACCAGGGTAATGTGTTCCTAATGAAACAGAATAGAGTTCATTCAGATTTCAGAAGGCTATAGGCCTTCTATAGGCCTGCATTACCAAATTTCTTAGCCACTCAGCACACATGAGTACATCCTCAGACACTAGGCTATACTACAGACACACTATGTGTGGCAAATGCTGAGCTTCCAAGATGCTCCTGGACTACCAGAGAAGAACAAATGAATGACAATATTCTTAGTTTAAAACACACAGAAAGGAACTGGAGAGGTGGCTCAGTGGTTAAGACCATGTGTTGCTATTGCAGAGAACCTGGTTTCAGCTCTCATTGCCACACCATCTGTAACACTTATTCCAGGGAATCTGACGTCCTCTTCTAACCTCTGAGGGCACCAAGCATGCCCATGGTATACATAACACACAGGCCAAACATTCTCACATATAAAAACCTCTTCAAAAAGAAAGAAAGAAGGGGGCACATATCAACTGAAGATTAGAAAGAAAAGGATAAATATAAACTATGTATCATTGTGATATAGAACATGAAGTCTATCTGATTTATCATTTTTCCACATGATCTGGAAGACAGAATGCCCAGCAAAACCTTTAGGCTTACAAGTGACTGCAAATTCTTAAGGGTAGTAAAATGTCAAACTGGTAAGTAAAATCTGTAAGAAAATCTTAGAACTCCAGGAGGTGAGGTAGTTAGCAGTAAGCTTTATTGTGTGTTGTAACGTATTCAAGAGCAATAACTCAAGCTACAATTACATGCCAAGTATTCCTTTCAAAATCAGATGATAGGAAAGATTTCAGAAAAGATGCTCTGATGAGAAAATTCATGGGTATTCCTCAGGGAATCTGATGAAGCATGGGAAAGAGCGTATTTCTATTTTTTCTGTTATAAAGTTATAAAAGTGCTCTATTACAGAGACAGCATAGTATGCAGTACCCTCTCCAACTCTCTCACCTTCAGCTAAGAGACATCTCTTTTCTATACTACTCTGGATAGAAATCTCCGAGCAGGTGGAACCAGTGTGCTGGAGAGCTGGGAAGTAATGATCTTTCAGCCTCGAGTTTCTAAGAGCTGGGATTACAGGTATATCACCGTCCTGGTTTGTTTGTTTTGGTGTTATGTAAGACTCAGAGAGTCTTGTGAATGTTAAACATATACTTCCATTGAGCCATGTTCCAGCTCTAGTCTAAATTTTTAGAAACCAGAAAGTCTGTTTCAATTTGGTGTTTTATTGGCTGTGACCTATGGTGATTCATCTGTGTCTGATACTACACTAAAAAGAGAGAGATACAAATACTTTCCCAGTGCTTGTCATGATAATGCTTACAACACTCCTTGACACAAAGTGACTGTTGAAAAAATGCAGCTTACTGTGACCACCATAAAGGCCATCTTTTTTCTTTAAAAGTTCATGAGCAGAGCTGGGCATGGTAGTGAATGCCTTTAATGCTAGCACTTGGGAGGCCAAGGTGGAGAACTGTGATTTTGATGATCTCAGCCTGGTCTACACAGCAAGTTCCAGGCCATTCAGAGCCTATCACAAACAAACAAACAAACAGAAAACTATAAGCAGGGGCTGGAGAAATGGCTCAGATAGTTACAAGCATTTTGAAAATTCAAGTTGGGTTTGTAGCACCTATACAAGTTGGCTCACACTGCCTGCAACTCCAGATCCAGGAGATGTCTTCTGGCCTCCTCAGGCATCCACGCACATGTAGTGCACACACTTGTGTAGCATGCATACACTCTCTCTGTTACACACATACACATTAAAAATTAAAAAAAAAAAGTCTGTGAGTATACCTAACATAATCTGACTTAGTATGTTAAGTCATTACCTTAATGAGACCATCTCCTTGGGCAAAGCATGGGTCCTGTACGAAATCAAGCACCTGAAGTGTGAGCTGATGCCACAACCTAAAAAACAAAAAAGTCATTCAGACTCATAAAATAACAGGGAGTAACAGAACCTTCAGCTTTGATGGTCCCACCAAGCATCAAGTACTACGTAGGTCCCACTGCACAGGATAGTAAGTAGTTAAAGCAAATGCCAACTAAGTCAAAGTTCATTTCCTGACTCTGCTACCCCTTGGTCACTTATCCTAAGATTCAGTTTTCTTGGGTAACAATGGAGAACATTTTTTTGAGACTGCTTCAACACTATGAGTGTCAACTGGAAGAACTTTGCAATCCTACAGCTGTATTTTGAACTCCATGCTCTCTTACTTATTAGCTGAATGTCTTACAGAGGGATAGAAAACAGATCTCCAGTTTCCTCATCCGTGGATGGGATGAAGGAGAGATGAAATAAGCCAATATACATATTTTTAGGACACTGACGTAGCACATTTCACACAAAGACTAAAGGCTACTATTTAATAGTGCAGATAAAGTGCTCTGGGGAATACAAAATGTTAGCCCACACAGGCAGTTAGATACTCAACACTGAAAACGTCTCTTGAAAACACTAATAGCAGAAAACTGCTGAATACCACCAAAACACACGAACGGAAAGGATCTTTGTGGAAAGGTGTTTCCTCAGGGAAAGCTCTAGATCAATGTCAGCAATCTGTAACTGTTCTGAAGTCCATCTCGTTTCCAATCAAACTCAAACACTAAGGTCTCTCCAGTGGCAAAAAGGCCAATGTGAAATACAACAGAAAGCAGGGACAATGGGGGCTGAATCAAAGGTTGTAGAATCATGAAGAATTTGCAGGCTGTAGACAATCACACCACGGCTTAGGACAAGTTACCAGGGTCTGTGGCAGACCCAGACGCGGTGGCACCCTAGCCTCAAAACTATTTGCTTGTTTGAATTAAGAGCTACCATCACAGGCCAGTCCGGGCCCCCCTTTAGTTAAGACAGTCTGTCATAGCCGGTAAGGCTGCAAAGCAGGGGGTTTAGATTCAGAACCCTGGTAGCAAGCAGCTCTGCTCCTTTGGCTGTAGCTCCTTTTCTTCTGATTCCCTGACCCTCGGGGCTGCTCAGAGCCTCCTGCTGCTCCCAGAGCCCTCTCCCTCCCGCCCACGCCGCAGAGCTCACTTCTTCGTGTACAACTCCTCCAAACGGTGCCAAACGGCGGCCTGGCCCGGCCCGGAGTTCTGGCTCTGCTGTAAGAAGGCCGGCACATCCTTCATGATTGCAGAGAGCTGGGAAGAGAAACACCAAGTACTCGGAACCGGCAGGGATGGCGGACGGAAATGC